AATTAAAGCCCAGAACGAAGTGTACGAAAAAGGTACTAAAAAAATAAAATGTTGGTATATGTATATATTTTTGTGCGTAAAGTTGATGTGCTATAAGTGTACACAAAAACTTGTAGGTTTGTACTATGAATGAAAAAAGTACTAAATTGTATTACAATTAAAATATTTTGTATTGAGTAAACGACTAGAATAGGGATTTTTATATAAGATAGTTTTATTGGTCTAATAATATGCAATTTCCATGCTGTAATATATAGTTTTTCCCAACAGGTAGCCCTTAACAGCGAATGATGATACCGACAATTTTGTCAAAAGATGTTGACTTTTGATATAAGATTTTCTTAACTCATTTAGCGCCACCGTTCTTTTAAAACTATACTAAAACGACAATTGCACTTCTAAAAACCTATTATCTTTGTTAATTCCTATTAATTATTTTATTTTATATGGTATATTGTTCTATACACTCTTAGCTTCATGCTAAAACTAAATTTTATTAAAAAATAGTTATCTAATAATAAAATATTAATGTTTTGAAATTAAATTTAAAATTTTGAAGAAATAAACGCTGGCGTTATTTGGGTTAAATCTAAAAATTCCGAAAATGTGGAGTATCGTTCTAAAGGTGATATATGTAACGAAAATTGATTATTGGGAATATTGGTAACAAAAATTGTAAAATAGGGTCTACAAGTAAAAAAGTCGATCCGAACTTTTTATACCCTCCGCCATGCATTTTAAAATTTTCAAGCTTTTCAATGGGCTGGTAAACTTTAAAATGCTTGTTAAGGTTTTTAACTTTCCATAAATATAAAAACTTAAAAGGTAATAAAAAATTAACAATTTACAAAAATTTTTTGTTATTGTTTTGTTGTTGTTTATTGTAATTAAAGAAAAGTCTTACTTTTGTTGTGGTTATATCAAAAGTTGCATCTATATATGGGCACTTCCGAAAATTCCAACGGTGTTACACATTTTTCGTATGAACTAGGATTATTGACTTCGCTCTAAAATTAACAAAATTGTGGACCTTTAGGAAAAATATCAGTGGTAAACAATCGAGAGCCGATTTTTTACCAAAAACTTTTGAAAAATAAAAGCCACCGATTGGCTTTATCCTAGTTCATACCAGAGCTATACTTCAAGAAACGTTGCAAAATTTGGAACCGATCATTATTAATTTTTGAGTTATCGTGCCCGCCATTGTGTGAAAATGTTTAAAAAAACTTTAAAGGTTGTGAAGACATACCACGCATTATTATGCTGACTTTAAAATATTTCAAAATATTGCATTTTCACTTGAAATTTTGTAGAAAGATCCTTTAATCAGTGTAGATTCGACATTATATAATTTTGCAGTTTTTATTTCCGCAATGTCTGCATTTTTAGTCATTAAAATAGTTATGATGTTATGAACTACTCCCAAATGGAAAACTTAAAAGGTAATAAAAACATTAATTAAATCCACTACCATGAGAAAATTCGGTTAAAAATTTCTTAATACCGAAAAAGAAGAAGAACTTTTAGTTGGCGTTATATCAAAAGTTCACCTATATACACTTAACAAATCTGTATATGAGTTAGCCATCCAATAATATTTCTACGAATCTATCTGTTGAAAAATGTGGCTATACCGATAATGGAACATAACATTGATAATATTTGGTAGGAAGATTTGACGCCTCATAAAAATGTGATTAATCAAACAAAATCGAATCGAATTCGAACCGAAATACTGAATAAGGGGTGTACCATTATATGGGGGCTTCCCGGAAACTTGGTTCAATGTTAATCATTTTTTGTAGGTAGATTTTCTACTCAATGAGAAATTTATTAAAGCACGTGTCCAAGCTCCCTTTAATACCGACGCCAGAGCTAAAGCGTTACACAGGGGATTCCTTAAAAAGTGAAGAAATATTGATCACGTTTAGTAGGAAGATTTTACTTACAATGAGAACCTGCAAAATCAAATTAAAATCAATTCGGTTAAAAAGCGTGCTCAAAATCGCCAAAATACAAAATAAAGGAGTTTACCATTATATGGGGGCTACATGGAAACATGGGCCAATGTTGATAGGGAAATTTTTCTACCAATTGAGAATCCATAATAATAAAGGTGGACAAACATCGGAACATTTTCTACCATTAGTCGGAACATTTTCTACCATACCACAGCACAAAACAACAAAATACAACCAATTAGATAGAAACATAGACACCATCAAAATACCGAATATTATATGAGAGCTACCTCGGAACATACGCTAACATTGATAATTTTTAGAAGGCAGATTTGATATCCAACGTGAATCAAAAATACCAATTTACAGTTCATTCTTTATGGGATCTCTGATAAACATTTCGATGTCTGTCTAAAATATTCAGGCTATGTACTTATTAGTGACGATAGCATATTTTAAATATTCGGTGAAAAACAGCCGGTTAAAATATGGAGAACGAACACCACATTCAAAATATCTAAAATCGAACGGAAATTTATATAGTGTAAATCTCTGCCAGTATGACGGCTATGTAGAAAATTTTAACGGAAACTACTGCCCCCTATAAAGAGCCTTTATATGGAGGTCTTATAAGATTGGCTGGTATTTCTAATTTTTAGTAAAAAGATTTACTTCGAATACAATCTCGAAATATCAAATCAGGGCCAAATCAAAAAGAGTTAGGAGATCCAGCTCGTTTGAAATACATGTCTGAAGTCCCCAAAAAAAGAGTTAGGAGAATATACCCGATCACATTAGGTTGGGGAAAAAGAAATCCATTAGGCCGGTCGGAAAAATCGGAGAAGTGATCGAAGTTGACCGACATGTTAGCAGTCGTAACATCGGCCAGGAGCTAAAAATCGACCATAAAACTGTTTTAAACCATTTACAATTAACAGAAAAAATAGAAAATCTGCAAAGCCTTGAGAGACCCATTTCTTCAACGGATGGTGACTGGAGATGAGAAATGGATCACATACGATAACCCTGTGAAGCACCTCAAACAGTGGCAAAAACAGGACTAACGGCCAGGAAGGTTCAGCTATGCATTTGGTGGGACTGGAAGGGGATTATTTATTATGAGTAGCTTCCATGTGGCCAAACGCTGAATTTTTATCTCTACTGTCATCAACTGGACCGTTTGAAGATAGCAATAGACCAGAAACGGAGAGGAGTCGTGTTTCACCATGACAACGCTAGGCCACAAACATATACAGTGACTCGCCAGAAACTTCGGAGCTTGGTTGGGAAGTTTTAATGCATCCGCCATACAGTCCGGACAATAAAAGAGGGCAGGACTTCTATCAGAGAAGTATTGTGAAGATACATTTAAAATGACAACAAATCATACAACAAAACGGTGCATATTTGGCCCCAATCGGACATTCCGAAGCATGTTAAATAAAGTCCTATAGTTCATATAAAAATAATGGATTCTATTTTCCCCAAACTAATATTTCAGTTTTCTACATAAAGAAAATGTGATTTAAAATTACCATGAATTTATTTAAAAAACGTTAATCTCAATATTTGAAAAGATTGGTTGAATTAAAACATTCAAAACTGGGCTTAGACCGAACTTGAGTCCTTCAGCAAGACAACGATTCCAATCAATCCTCCAACATATTAATAGAATCTCAAAAATCGTACAGCAGCTAGATATAGTATTCATACGCTGTTGTCTTAAAAACATTAAAAAAATAGAATTTTTGAGTTGTGTCAATGTGGTGAAGTTATATTTATATATGTCGAAACAAAATCAATAATTTTTTTTATTATAATAAAATTGTAAGTTGAAATTTATATGCTGTAAATGATAACCCCTACATCTTAAATTGGAATAGATTTAATTAATTTGGAACGATTTGCTAATATAAACGAATATTTAATTCATAAATATTATTAATGTCTACATAAATTACTCATACCCAAGAAAACCTTACCGGAAAATTATGGTAGGGTATACGAGGTATAAGTTAACCATGTCATGAAGTAGTAAAAAAAGAACATTCACACACACACACTCAAAAACCTGAAATAAAAAAGTTATGGCTTTGAACTTTTGACAAAAAATAAAAATCTTTACCAAAAAATAAACAAAGAACCACAACACAAAGGCAGTAAAATACATGACCTATATTTCGGTTAGCGCTGCTCACCTTTTTCCCAAAATTAACTCTGTTTTGATGAGTTTCAATTAATTTCTGTGGGATTTCGACAAACAAAAAAGGGGTTGATAATGAGTTCGTCGATAGCACACAATATGGTAATATCACTTTCATTTATTCGAATAAACAAAATATTGAGTACGGCGCTGTCTGCTGCTTCACTTTCTAACCATGGTTACAACAACAATAAAAACAAAAACAACAACAACAAATTTGTCTTTCAAACGGGCCAAAAAAATGGGGAGCCAAGTCACTGCCACCGACCTGAACATCATTAATGAATAAACAAATTGAAACATAATTATGATGTGTGAGAATGTGTAAATTACAAACATACATAGAGATACATATATAAAAGCGACTTAGCCTAAGACAAGATTATGGATTTGTAAGTCTGTCTCTTTTCTCCCTCTCTCACTCTCAAAGTGTTCAATCTGTATATTGTTCTCTTTGGGCCACTTTGTGTTTTGGTCAACCACACAGCCAGCTGGTGGTTACCTTGGCTTTAACATTTATTTTTCCAGTTGTTGATTTCTGTTCACAGCCCAACAAATATCGTTGGCTGGCAATCGCCGCCACTGAGCAACCAAACACCAGTTCGTCTTGGCTTGAGTTCTTGTTTTTTTTTTTACTTTTGGTTCTTTCTTTTGCATTGGCGCTTTGTTGCTGCTATTCCGTTGTCTTACGGAGATTTTCATAAAAATCTTTGAGCTACTTTCATATTCTTCATTTGAGTTTGAGACGTGGTAACGTAAACTTTAACGTGTCGTTCATAGTAAAGAGAAATTTTTGTCGGTATAAAGAAATTGTTGAAACTAAATAAATATTTAAAATGAGAATTTTGCAAGCTTGTAAGTGGATGTGAATGCGAAAAAAACGAATGGAAAAATTATGTGAAAGGAAAAAACAATCATTTCATGAGACTGTTCTGGAAAATTAAAGAAAAAATATGTGTATTTAAAAAAGTGTCAAGAATTTATAATATTTTTAAAATTATTATTAAGATCCCTGGAGACTAAAAAAATTTTATAAAATAATACCAAGGAATAAATTTAATTATACGCCTGGTTGCAGTTTATTTCTGAACTGTTACAACTTTTTCAAATGCAATTTGTGGGACTTCGAGCATTCGATTTTATTCATCAGTAATTAAAATTTGCATTTAGAAACATTAACGGATTTATTTTTGGAACGAAATAGTTATTCTTTCTCCATAAGCCTTATGTACAAGAGGTTTTGAATATAAAACTCAGACTAAAGAACTTTTCCCAAAAAAAAAGAATCAAATTTTAGATGTAATTGTATATAGTGAATTCAATTTTTTTATTTATTAAAATAATTTAGTTATTTAGTCATTCAAATTAGTCTATTTGAAATTTAAAGATATCAAAATTTAATTAAGACAATAAATTTCGAGTACAAAATGAATGTAAACTTTTTTCGATATTAAATGGAATAATTTAAATTAAAATCATTAGTGAAATGTTTCGAATAATATTATAAATGTGTGTGTTAAAAACAAGGACTGCAGAAAAGACGTAGGAATTCGAAGTATCAGCGAAAACATAATTTTGAATAAAGTTCCTAATGGGATTTCTATGGTTAACATTTGAATAAAAATATGGCAATAATTTAGGTTAATTTGGATACATTAATATTTTGGAACAAAATTGAACAAATTTACAGGATTTAAGAAAACATGTGCAGGATAAAAACATGAGTAAAATACTGTGGACGAACTTTTTATCCCCTTCTCCACCTGGTGTGCATTCAATATTACTTAAACCGATTATATGGGGGTCAGTAATTGCAATAAGTGTTAGTAGGTTTAAAAAATATTAAGAGGAGCTTTAAAAAAATAATAATCTGGCTGAAAACTGGGGTAGGACTGAAGTTCCTACAGAAAATTAAAGGAGACATTTGTTTGGGGACTACGAAACCGATATACAAATTTTAACCACATCGACGAAACTACACGGTTAAGAACTTAATAATACCGAGAATGGAGCAGTACGTTTTATCGACACCGTTTTATTGGAGCTATACCAAAACGTACACCGATATTGATATGTTGTAGTAGCAAGAATTGGCAAGGTGTTATGCCATGAGAACCTGAAAAATCAAATTAGAGCCAATACGATTGAAAGATGTTTCCAAACCCCTCAAAATACCAATTATGTTAACAATTTTTGGTAGGGATGAGAATTCAAAATATAAAAAAAACATCCAAATTGGGTTAAAATATGTGTGTAAAATATGTAGTTATGTGGGACTCCCCTAAAAAGGGTAGTGGGACATTTTTTACTCGTCAAATTATCTCTGAAAAACTAGCCCAAGCTTAATAAAGCTGAAAGATGGGTGGTAACCTTTATATGGGTGAACTCCAAAAACATCGACCCATATTGACGGTACGGAGCGTACAAAAGCTTCAAAATACCGAATTTTTGGGAACCGTTTATGGAGAGTATCCGCATTTTTTTTTTGTTGACAACTTTTGGTGGGAAGTTTTTTTTTTTTTTTTGGTACTCAAATACCTTTTTAACCACGAAGGCAGGCGCCAACGAACTTCTTAGTGAGATTGTATCGCTGGTAACGTAAATACTTCGATTTGTTACACGAGACATTTGGTTATGAAGGGGTTTTTGTAAAGAAGCTATAAATGGTTTCGGAGGAGAATATCACTAAAAAACTAAGGACCTGGTGAGAATCAGTAGCTTTCCCTGCCTTACCTCTTAGTGGACATATTTTCCCCACAAACAAATGGTATCCCAAATAACACTACTGAAGATTTTTTACTCAATTACTAATAAAATCACGTGCCCAAACTCCCCAAAATGCCGGAAAATGGAATGTAGAGTTATATGTGGCTACAATAAAAGTGGACCAATATTACAGCTAATTAGGTTGAATAGCGTGCCAAAAAGCTTCAAATTACCGAATATTGGGGAGTACGACTACATAGGGGGCAACCTTAAATATTTTGAGCTCTATCGTGATTTCAACAGATAGACGGACGTACATCCCTAAATCGACATACAATTTTATTCTGATCAAGAATATAAGGAAGATTTTCTGAAGATGTCTGAAATCCATAAAATAACGAAATCTGGGGAAATCGTTACCAAAACAGGGACCAAAAGTGGCATGTTTTAGTTGGAAGATTTGACACGTAATTAGAACTCAACATATTAGGTTGGGGAAAAAGAAATCCATTTTTTTTCGGCAGATGGTTTTACTGATAGATTTCTCGCAGTAAAAAAAATATTTTGCTGTTTTTTGTTTGGTGCATTCAGTTGAGAGTTACAGGGTGTTAAAAATGGAAGTGAACAAAGAGAAAATTCGGTATTTTTACAGTTTTTCTTTGACAAAGGCCAAGCCAAGCGGCTAAAATTATGAATGGTTTTTACGGTTCCGATACTATAACAATTGCAATTTTGGGTTCGTAAATTCCGTTCAGGAATTTTTGATGTTAAAGATGCACCTCGACCAGGTAGGCCGGTCGTCGAAAATGTCGATAAAATTGGGGAAATTATCGAAGTTGACCATTTAGTGTATGATGTACTAAAAGAAGTGGGCCGGGAAGCCTCATGTTCAAACATTGTACAGGAATGGTTTAAATAGTGGCTTGCAAAATGATGGTTCAAATAGGATACTCCACTCACTAATTATTGGATAAACAAATTTTCAAAATTGTAACATTTTGCATGGGAGGTACGCGAAGGGGCTTGGTAAAAATATTAAAATGTGCAATGATTGGACCAAAACAGACTGTCCAGTTGCTTGATATAGGATTTATGAATTTTGAAAATTTTAGACTATGTGGGAGAGTTACTGGAAGGGGTGGTCAGAAATAAAACGTAGATTGAAACAGACGGACATAGAATTTTATTCCGGTAAGAAATCGAGTGGGGACTTCGAAATGCAGCCAATTTTAATGGAACGTAGTCATTATAGAGAATACCTAGCCTCTTTATAATGTCTATATCCCATTTTATACTCCGAAACCCCCAAATATAAAATTACAGACACTTATATTGAATAATAAGGCAAGAACCTTCTAAATACCTAAAATGTAGCAGGGGATTTATATGGACAATATAACAAAATATTAACCTATTTTTCTGAGAACATTACTCTAAGCACTAAACTTCAAACTACATTCACTTCGTATAAAACGTACGGCTAAAACCTTCGCAATAACCTCAAATGTGTGTATTATTACAAAATGTGGTTCCTTATAAACAGAATGACCAAATGTAATGTATCCTCCATACTTGAAGAGGACATTACAAAAAGAGAAACCTATGTTAACGTTAAGATCATCGTGCCGAACTTTTTATACCCTTTACATCGAGTTAAACGTTAAAAGTACATACAAATCAATTCTAACTTCTTGAGGAAAATGAAACTACAGACTCAGGTTGTGTCAGGACCTTGAACATATGTCTGAAATCCTCAAAATACCGAATAATGGGGCCATACGGGAACAATATTGATAATTTTTGAGATGCAACCAACAAAATTGGTTGAACACCTGCTGAAGATCCAAAAAAATACCGAATATTAGCGGATACCGTTAAAAAATGACCGAAACTTAGATCTAAATTCATAATATTTGGTACGATATTTACTATACAATCTAAAAATACCGACAAATTTGGGGGTATCTTTAGATAGGGTCTATACCAAAAATTAAATTAAAACAAATAAGGGAAGTAGTAAAATCGGACGGACTGACTTCACTTTATTTCATTATTTTCTGCACTATTAATATGAATTCGGTCGAAAATATATATGGAAGCTATGTTTGCGTATGCACCAATTTTTCAAAAAAAAAAAAAAAAAAAAAAAAATATTATAGGCTCAATTTAATACCTTGTGCAATATTTAGTCGCAATCAGAGAAACATAGGGAACCTGATAAACCATTTACATAAAATTGAACCAATTTCATCCAAACATACCTGTCGTTATTTTTCACTATTTCGATATATTGTGCAAAATGTTGTGTAACTCAGATAAAATCGGGCAAATAAATGATCTGAGCCAAATTTCATCTCATTCGGATAATAAGTACGACCTGCAATTTGTTTATACATAAACATCAACAGACAGACGAACGGACAGACGGGTAATCATAAATCGACTCAGAAAGTGATTATATGCATATTCCTAAATGGAACCATTGGTCTATCTCGTTTCCTATTGTTTGTTATAAACATATGCACAAATACATAATACCCTGTCCACAGTGTGGTAAAGGGTATAAAAATATAATTCATATTCATTTTTTCAATATATAGAGTTCTATTTTATTTTGAACTTCACAAATTTAATTTTTATATTTAATTTTTTTCCAGTGCTTGTTGTGTTGGGTTTAACCCTCTGCCTCGCCTTACCCACCAAAAATGACGTGGAACAAAAATCCATATCCTATGCCAGTGAGGCATCTCAAATAATTGCCACACATTTGCTAAAATCTTTCAACGATATTGATGGCAACCAGGTTCATTCACCCTTGGGTGTATCGACAATGTTAGCCATCTTGGCCGAAGCTTCACAGGGTGATACCTATGATGAATTCTATAAAGTTCTTGGTTATCCCAAAGAGAAATCAGCACTTCGTGACTCCTTCCGGGCAATTCTATCGAAATATGAAGCAAAGAAATACAATAACGAACCATCATTCCAATCATGGTTGTATATCTATCGTAACTTCTCGGCGCGTGATGATTTCAAACAACTTGTACAAGACTACTATTTGGTTGATGTTAAAGACATCAATCGTGATGATTACGATTGGAGTGAACCCAATACATCATTGGATTTGGATAGCCCAACGACGGCCAGCAACAGCAAAGATGTGATTGGCTTTGAGACATTGAAACGTTTGAAGATCGATGACGATGATGATGATTTGGGTTTGGGCTTGACCACCGTTGGTGCATACACCGATGGCTATGGCGAAGAGTTCATTGAAAAGGAAACATCGAAATTCGATCGGTTCGTTGATGATAAGCAGTATGTGGAAAAACCTGAAATCATTGAAGAATTGCAAAAGGAAAAAGAAAAACTAGCAGAACAAGAACTGACGATAGGGCAACAAGAACAACAACAAGAAGAGGAAGATTTGAAACTGACCACAGAGGAAGCTGTTGCTAGTACAACTGCTGCTGAAAAACTAGAAACTCTTGATGAAAAACCAGCTGCAGACCAAGAAGAGGCCGCTAGCGATGCTGCTGTTGATCTCAACAAACGTGAAGATGATTTGAACTTGGAAGAAAACGAAACAGTCCAAGACAAAGAAAAACTGTTGAAAACATTCAAAGATGCTGCTGCTGATGATAACATCATACCCATACAAGAAGTTCTTGAGTCCAATGAACCTGAAAAGGTATCGCTGCCATTGGAAAAACTAGAAACGGTATTAGATGATGCTTCTAAGGGGTCACCAGCTGAAATAATGTTGGCTTTGGAATCGCATGTTAGTGCTGCACGAAGTGTAAGTAAAATAAATAGAAAAGTTGAAAAAAGTTAATAGAAAAAATAACCTTTGCTTTTTCTGGTTTTCTCTTTCCCAGGCTTTTGGAGGTCGCAGCCTTTTCCAACGTGATGATATCGCCTCGGCTTTGAGTGCCAATTCGATTACAGGTCGTGATATTGGTTCTAAAACTAAAATGTTGCTGTTCAATGGCCTATACTATCGTGGCAATTGGGCAAATAGTTTCCATGAAAAACACGATATCGATGAATTCTTCTTTATGACTGAAGATGATGCCATGAAAACACCCATGATGCATTCTCAGGGTAAATTCCATATGGCGGAGTTGGAGGATTTGAACGCTAAGGTTTTGTGTTTACCATATGAGGTAAGTTGGAGTTTTTTCTGATTTATATAATTTTGGTCTAATAACGAAAACTTGAATATTTATAATAGTTTCATGTATTATAGATGCTTATAAACCAAGTGTCTAAGCCCTTTTGGGGATTTATTGAACAGACATTTTGAAATTTTATTGTGAAGCAAATCCTCTTACCTCCACTTGTTATGGTAGGCCCTCATATAACCCCCATTATTCTATATTTTGAGGTTTTTTTATACCTTATCTACTGTAATTTGATATTTTGGGTTATTACTGGGTAGATAATCCTTCTACAAAAACCTATCGATATTGGTACAATTAAGGTACCAATTTCAGAATTCCAGCCCAATCGCTACAACCAAATACCAAATATAGGACCATTTAGAAGATAATATTATGAATTTCCAAAACTTCCAACATAGTCCAACACTTGAAATTTGAAGTACGATTCCAGCTCTATCAGTTCACCCAAATACACATTTGGTACCATTTAGTACATGTTAGTACGAATTTCCAAAACTTCTTACATATCCCAATCCTGCACCCCCACAATGACCCTAACTTCAAACTTCAGGATTCCAGTTCTACCGGTTCCCACAAAATTCAAATTGTACGAAATTATGTACCCTTAAGTACGAATTTTCAAAACTACCTATATCACACAACAAACGGAAATCTTATTTCTCGATTTCAGGTTCACCAAATTACACATTAGTACGAATTTCCAAATTTCCCTACATTCCCCAATCCTACACCCAAACAAATCCAACTTGTACCAAATTTAGTACTCTTCGTACATATAAGTAAAAAAGTTCCAACACTGCGTACAAATCCGAATCTTCGTACTCCGGCGGTAATTTCCAGCTCCAGCTCCATCCGTACCTCCAAATTAAAATTGTACCAAATTTTGTGCCGTTTAGTACTTTTGGTATAAATGAGTACACAGTTCCAAAACCACCCCCTATACCGACCCTACTACTCAAACTTGATTCGCATTCCATATACGTTCACCTGCTGCGAAATTGTAACAAAATTTGTACAGTTTAGTACTTTTCGGGTACTTATAGTTGGAATTTCCAAAAACCCTTTGGTACATCTATCCTACACTCTATAAGTGACCCTCAATCCAAATTTCTATCTCTATTGTTTCGCCAAATACAAATAATACTTTGTAGTACTTTTCGTGCCGTTCTAGAATTTCATCTTCGGACAGGGTGACCATCACCCAAAAATTCAAGATTCTAGCTTCAGTCGTTTCGTCTAGGCGTTGATGAATCGTTAAGTCAGTCAATCACTTTACTCTCTTATTAAAATAGATTTAGTACTTTTGGTATAAATGAGTACACAGTTCCAAAACCACCCCCTATATCGACCTTACTACTCAAACTTGATTCGCATTCCATATACGTTCACCTGCTGCGATATTGTAACAAAATTTGTACAGTTTAGTACTTTTCGGGTACTTATAGTTGGAATTTCCAAAAACCCTTTGGTACATCTATCCTACACTCTATAAGTGACCCTCAATCCAAATTTTTATCTCTATTGTTTCGCCAAATACAAATAATACTTTGTAGTACTTTTCGTGCCGTTCTAGAATTTCCAAAAACCCAGCCTTATCTGACATCTTCGGACAGGGTGACCATCACCCAAAATTTCAAGATTCTAGCTTCAGTCGTTTCGTCTAGGCGTTGATGAATCGTTAAGTCAGTCAATCACTTTACTCTCTTATTAAAATAGATTTAGTACTTTTGGTATAAATGAGTACACAGTTCCAAAACCACCCCCTATATCGACCTTACTACTCAAACTTGATTCGCATTCCATATACGTTCACCTGCTGCGATATTGTAACAAAATTTGTACAGTTTAGTACTTTTCGGGTACTTATAGTTGGAATTTCCAAAAACCCTTTGGTACATCTATCCTACACTCTATAAGTGACCCTCAATCCAAATTTTTACCTCTATTGTTTCGCCAAATACAAATAATACTTTGTAGTACTTTTCGTGCCGTTCTAGAATTTCCAAAAACCCAGCCTTATCTGACATCTTCGGACAGGGTGACCATCACCCAAAATTTCAAGATTCTAGCTTCAGTCGTTTCGTCTAGGCGTTGATGAATCGTTAATTCAGTCAATCACTTTACTCTCTTATTAAAATAGATTTAAAAGATTTTGGGCACATTTTTAATTAATTTGAGTTGAAAATCTCCCTACTAAAAGTTATCAATATTGGCCCAAATATCGTTATTTTGCGAAGATTGGACGCGTGTTTCAAGTGAATCAGCTGTAATTTTCAATTTTGGGCTCTCTGGTAGAAATCTTCTTCTTCTACAGGCGTTCCCTCAAATGGCCTGTAATCTTGTGTCAATATTGTCCCAAGTTTTCGGGTACCACCCATATAATGGTACCTCTCAATCGATGTGGCTGTAATTTGGTAAAAAGGGTTCTTGAAGGCTGTATGAAATTGTCGATATCATTTCATGCGTTGGTATAGCCCCGATATGTAGTTGGACTTTTTGGATTTCTAAAGGATCAGGAATAATTTCGATATAGGTTCATCATTTGATATAGTCTTCTCTTAAAATAATGTTGGTGGAGTGTATAAAATCCTAATATTTTTTTACTTCTTCCTGACATAATTTTCTATTTTCGATCTTTACTTAATTTTAGAACAAAAAATACTCTCTAATGATTGTGTTGCCCAACGAATTGGAAGGTCTACATGGACTGATACAGAAAATACAACCCGGTGACTTTAAGAGATTCAAATCGGTCATGAAAGAACGTGATTTACATGTTGTCTTACCAAAATTCCAAATTGAAGAAACATCCCGTTCCGAGTCGATGCTTAAGAGTTTGGGTCTCACAAAGATTTTCTCACGCAGTGAAGCTGATCTAAGTTTGCTGTCCGATGATCGTGATTTACATGTTGATGAAATTGTCCAGTTTGTTAATGTACGTGTCGATGAAGGTGGTAATTCGGTAATAAGTCTCTCGGCTGCCGATGCAGAAGGTCGCAATAAGACCGAAGAACCAATGGAAATGTTTGAAATCACCCATCCTTTCTTGTATTTCGTAATGGATTGTGAATCAGATTTTATTTTGGTCTCAGGAAAAGTGCATGCACCCGAAGTGCAGGATGAGTTGCCGGTGGGTGTGACAGTGGAATTTGATCAAGCGTAGATTTTAAGTTAATTACAAATGAACAGAAAAAACAAACAACAACAAAATACGAAATATTCTCAAGACTTACGTTTAAGTATATCTCTCGCTATATACATATTTATTTGTAAACTGTGTACGTTTGTAATTTCATGGTACGAGTATTGATATGAAATAATAAAATAACTTTTTTATAAAAACATAAAAAACCCCGTGTATAATTCGTTACGTTTGTTTAATATAATCAGTGAAGTGAATCAGTGAAATAGTTACGGTAAGTGAGATTTTGTCATTGGCCATATTCCCATGACTTAAGTGAAGTGTGCGCATCTCTTCAATAATCAAAACAAGGATCTCAACAATTAATTCCCCGTCATTGTTGGGTTAACTGTTGTCCTGTGTCGAAGTAAAACTATTATCACCAACCCCCCACCATTTTTTCACAAAGAACACTTCAAAAATTCAATTGCTCGTAACAACAGAATAAATAGAAATTTATCATGCACACATTAGACATTACGTTGTCCTAACATTATTACGCCTTTGATGCTGATGGCAGAGGTGGACAGTACAGTAATGAAAAAATTTAATTTGTCATAGTCTTCGGGTATTAGAGAACAATGGAACATATAATTGAAATGTAAAATTCAATGGATATATATTTGGATAACAGTCACCAACCAAAATTACGTATTTTTAATAGCTGCTTCGAAGTGAAAAACGAAACGAAATTGTTTTTTTGATCTTCGAAGAATCAAGTCATGTAACGAATGTTCCGATTGAACAACGTAATCCAGTCTATTATGAGAGCTACTCCTTAATTTGTTGGTCTGAAGTCTTTAAATTTTGGAGAATTTGGAAAAAGGGAATCTTAAAAGGACCAACCAGCCTTTACATAAGAGGAAGAGGTAGCACTAATTGGTAAGAACCGCCGTCATCATAATATTTCGTAAAGACTGGGAATTCCAAAGGACGAACAGGCATTTACGTATGGGAAGAGGGCAGTAACAATTGGTAAGCCGACGTCTCATGCGAATGTTTGTAAGGGGCGCTACAGAAAAAAGACCTGCTATGCAGTGATCGATGAAAATAGTGGAGTTGATGCAGACTGCTAAATGATCTGAACAGATGCTAGTTCAAAGGGGGTCTATTTTATGTTTGCTTCAGGGTAAGAAAGACAGGGATTGAAGAGAGGAAGCTTGACGTCTTCCACAGGGAGAAGAACAAAGAGGGCTCTCCTTGGGATAGTCTTCCATGGGTCTTCAATTACAAGTCTGGCTTAGGCTATGGGTATGGCGAACTAAGTGTCCAATGCTGTGTACTTCAAATTTCTATAGCGTAGACTATGGATATGGCGAACTAAGTGTCTAATGCTGCCTACTTCAAGATTGGGAAGGCAAGGATTGGAGAGAGGATGCTTGAGTTGGAGTTCTCAATTCTTCAAGTGGGACGTCTTCCACAGGGAGGAGAACGAAGAGGGCTCTCCTTGGGAGTGTCTTCCATGGGTCTTCAATTAAAAGCGAACTAAGTGTCCAATGCTGTCTACTTCAAGATTGGGAAGGCAAGGATTGGAGAGAGAATGCTTGAGTTGGAGTCCTCAATTCTTCAAGTGGAAAGTCTTCCACAGGGAGGAGAACGAAGAAGGCTCTCCTTCGGATAGTCTTCGATGAGTCTTCAATTACTAGTTTGGCTAAGACTAATGGTATGGCGAACTACGTGGCTAATGCTGTCTTCTTCAAGATTGGGAAGTCAAGGATTGGAGATAGGATGCTTGACTTAGAGTCCTCAATTCTTCAACAAAAATTACAATTCTTTAATGGTAAAAGGCAATAGGATTCGTTAGAATTGGCCAACAGGAGAGGATTCGCTAGGCCACACATGACTCGTCAGAACTAGAGTTTTTTTTTCAAATAGAGAGCAGGAATTCTATGAGAATGACAACAAATCATGCAACAAAATCGGACATTCCGAAGAATTTAAAATAAAGTCATATAGTTCATATAAAAATAATGGATTTCTTTCCCCAACCTAATATATAAACCCTAAAACATATCCCTCGTATCCCTCCCATATTCGACCTCTTCCATCAGTAAAATTGCTATTTGAATAAAGTCCACAGCACCTCTTTCTAATACTGGCAATTTTTCTGAATCATATTTTCGCGAACTGAACATTTACGCCATGAGATGGAAATTTCGTAATTTAACTATTATAGATTTGTGCAGCCGCAAGGGTTTGTAACGCCGCGAGATATTGGTCCTAGACCCACCTTTTAGTATACCGACGGTAAAAATTACAAAATTTGAATTCTATAGCGTATATATTTACCCCTGAAGGACATAGACCCGAGAAGTTGATAGTATATTCAAGAAGAGTAGTTGACTTTAAATTGATACCAATTATATTGTCTTATGTACTCGGAAGTGGGAGTTACACTTAAAAATCTACAGGTGCTTACATACTCAGATATTATTTAGTAACCCATTTCCATACGAGAGGGCGGAAATATAGCGCTGATCACATGGAAATGATCAGATAATATTTTTTGGGATGAAGTAGAACGAAAACTTAATTTTTGGTGCTTTTTCGAGCCGATCTATAGGCCACAATTGAATGTCGAACATCACAACACAACCCACGGTGAAGGGAATCTGGATAAGTAATTAGGAGGGCTGTACTGAATATTGGAAATATTTATTGATCTATAGTCGATCAAAAGAGCGCAAATATCGTCGAAATTGTGTAGAGTATCACTGTTTTTTTTAATTAGAGCTTTAATTCCAATTTAATGCCAACAGCAATTTCAATTAGTTGGCCAGATCCCCTTCCCCGTAAAAAATTTTGATGTTCGGCTTGTAATTGTGGCCTTTTGATCTTCTAGAAAAAAAGACAACTACAATGTTTACGGTCCATTTCATCCTCTAAGTATCATCTGATGACCACCGAACGGATGACATCCTTAACAGTAACAGGGATTTCATGTAGAAGTAGCGATCTGTAAGTACAGTACAATACCCACATACATAAATACACATGGTATCATTTTAAAAACCAATCAGTATAATAGGCTTTCAATAAATATTTTTGAAAAATCGACGATCTTTCTTCCCTATCGATTTCATGGGCTTTTTGGTACATAGGAAAAATTAAAATCACCCCTCTACACAAATTGTAATGGACATCAACGTCAATTCTTTCCCACCGTACATTAAATGAATAATTGTTGCTCATTGAACAGAACGGGGTGGATTATTGTAGTTAACAGTTTCCATTTCTAGAAACACATTATCATACTTCCGCACAGACACACGCATACATTTAGTAGGCAATACAAATTAATTTGTAACTGAAAAAAGTATCATCATTATCATAGCTATTTTCAAGTACTTGAAATGATATAGATTATGACGCAATTTTGAATGAAACCTTTTCATTTATCAAGAACATTTGTTGCATTAATGTTTATAAAGTTAATCTTTAACTTTTCCCTAAAACATTAACGGTAACCAAAAATTGCAACATCATCATGGGAAGGACAATGAAACAACATTGTCGTGTCATCAAGTGGACACGTGTCTGATTTTCAACCATCAATGACCGCATCGAATTGTCAACTATTTTTACATAATAATGTAAATATGTGTGTTTGGCGTATGCATTCTCCTGTGGGAAAGTATGAGGTACGGAATGATGTGAATTGATTTTTATTTGGCTTCCATATATAATTGATACGGAAAATTACAAGTCATCCCTCCTTCATGCATCATAGCTCGATGAGAAACCAATCATTAAAAAAACTACTAATATTCTACGCAAAAATCTCTACACTGACACTTAAAGTTCTTCTACTTGTGTATTTAATAATTAACACAAACACACTCTTCCTGCTGTAGTTGTGCCAGCCAAGGAATCATGAAAAAGTAAACAAACCTTTAAGGATGGCATATTAAATACTACAAGTGTATTCAGGAATGTTTTGTATTGTTCTCCGCAGCAAACACGTTTCCGAGACCCCAACCAACCCCCAATTTCCTTACTCGCATCCAAGTCATTCCCTGATGGAGCAGCACTAAAGATGAAAATGAAATTCCTTTTTGTATTAAAAGAAAAAAAATATTTCAGGGGGAAAGGAAAAAATATTGGCGCCAAGCTGACGGGCGCCAGAAAACAGAGGTAAAATCAGGAGTAACTGCAAAACTATGATTATGGTGATGACGATTACCGCAGGAGATACAGCAGAAACAACAACATAATAAATACAAAACATGCTGTGTGAACACAAGCACACAAACATGTAGCGCTGAATTACAGCAGCAATTTCACTTCATACAACGAAACAGCAAAAGGACATCCGAATTGTTGATGTGCCAGTCTATCTACCGTCCTTTAAAGCCAAGTGATGATGAGGAAGAAAAGACGTTGGGAAAAAACCATCAGACTACTCACCAGTGATATACCCATACATCACCGAAACTTCAGTGTATTGCCTCTCTCTGTCGGTATGGTCTGCCACTGTGACAGCACTTTCAAAACCTGGCAGAACACACAGGACAGCACAACACTACCGATGATATTTCTTCTTTTCCACATGAAAACTCACGTAACACAAAATTATGATAATCATAAGTTTTTGTTGTTGCTTTTGTTGGATTTACTTAAAAGTCTGTGTGTGAGTATTGGTAAACAATTAACCCATTGAGGTAACTTCATATTTTTATTTAAAAACTAAACGACGATCAAGAAATATATTTTAAACATCCTTATTGACCTAAACGACGCTCATGAAATACATTTAAAAATCCGCGTTTATTGGCCTAAACGACGCTCAAGAAATATATTTAAAAACTCCACGCTTATTGGCCTAAACGACCCTCAGAAAATATACTAAAAAATTCACCCTTATTGGAAATATACTAAGAAAATTCACCCTTTTTGGATTAAGTGATCCTCAAGAAATATTGGCCTAAACGACCCTCAAAAAATATATAAAAAAAATCCACGCTTATTGGCCTAAACGAACCTCAAAAAATATATTTATAAAAAAAAATCCACGCTTGAAAA